CGTGAATCTCTTTGACTCTGTGCTGATTGTTGCAGAGACAGCAGATCCATATGTAGGTGTCTTTTGGATCCAGGCTACTGGACTGGCAAAAATCAACAAGGGTTTCCACAATATCTCGGACCGCGTATCGCCACCCATAGCTCAACATGAAATTGGCTGGCCCAACGACAACAGACTTTTCATTATTTTGCTCCAGACAACGCAATAATAATGCATGGGCATAGGATGCGCCAATTCTTCCATCCACGGGGCACGTCGTATCCTTGCCCTTTTCTCGAATCACCGTGGGTTCAATGTTGTAGATGGTGGCCGATTCATCAAATCCCGCTGCTTGAACTTCTTCCATGAACCCAGTCTGAAGCCAGTGCACACTAACTCCCAGCGTTGCCAGCGCCTTGGCATCGACGTTGTTGTCGTCCATGATCTAACTATAACTGATGCATTTGAGCAGTCGTAGATAACCTCCTTACTCTAAACCCCCTTTCGTCTTGATACAATGTCATGACCAGAAGAGAGGCGGTGAATCGAATCAAGACAAACAAAACTTTGACAGCGCCATGGCGTCATGGTTGGGCTCGGCTCCATCGGGGTGGTTGAACAATCGATTTCATTCGATTCACGGGTGATTGAGTCCAGAAAGGTTCCATACGATTAGGGTCAGGGTACGTACGGTGCAAAAAGATATTGCCAGCAGCTTTGCCAGCTATGAATGTTGCCACTGCATTGAGAGGGCTGCAATTAATTGCACCCTTGGTTTCATGATTCCTGCATGGTGCCCTCCCCTCGAGCTCTGTCCCCATCCTCATCTTAGCTCTCTAATCCATAGTAACCACCCACTCGAACCCTTGGTTTCATGCCGTCTTGTACCATGGTGCAGCATTGACTGGGACGTTGGCTTCCTTGTACACGCCGCTCCCACATCAACTGCACGTTGTGGCCATGAAAATTGTCACACTAGCTCGCACTTCACTGCGCTGGTGGGAACCATGTAATGAGAGAATGTTACTATCGGTTGCTTGGTTTCGGATCAGGGGCTCAAATCGTGGACCAACAAGGGGCTTTGCCCAATGATAAGCCAGCTATCTAATAGTATAGTCTCTGTTTGTTTGACGTTGGTTGACGAGGCAGTATCAGAGGCTGGCAGCCTTCTTAAGTAATGGTGAAGCCTCTGCAGTGTGCTGCAATCAACTCTACCTCTAGAGATGTCAAACAACTGGATCCTTTGATGTGGAGGGAGCATCCGGGTTACGTCATACTCGATGACGAAGACGAAGGAAACATCTTGCAATCTCGTCTCAAGGCGAAAAGTCGGGCATGAGTTCACCCCCGTCAGATGGCAAATCCAAGCTCTTGCCATTACCAAACTCCACACGTACAAGCAGCTTATTGCTTGCCGGTGGGTCCAATACAATTCCCTTTCCCCATTTCTTATGCTGGACACTCGATCCTACTGGAAAAAACCAAGTGGAATCCATTGCAGCGGACCTCGAGACCGGGGAGGTTGCCTTGGCTTTGCCGTTACGTCGAGGCTTTGACACGCCGTTCACAGAGATGCTACGTGGGTCGCCCAAACGCCTGCTTGTGGAAGTTGAAGCGTTGGTATTACGACGGGGACTGCGGATGGGGTAATCTGATGAAGAACGTCCGGACGGAGGATAGTTGCGGCTTGCGGTGCTGTAGGATCGATTGTTGTTCCCCGGTGTTTGCAATACCTTCCGTCTTCTCGAAGGGATATCACTATCTCGGGAAGACGATGCATCCGATGCGCCCTTCTTTTCTTTCACTAAGGTATCGAGAAAACGAGAGCGCTCTCGTTGGACAATGCGCATTCCTCCACCCTCGCCCTGTCCGAAGATGGCCGCCTCGCGTCTCCATGTAAGAAACAGATCCGATTTGGCTCGCGTCATGGCAACATAGCACAGCCGGCATTCCTCCGCGAGAGCCACTGAGCCCTCTCCTTCATTTAGTGCTCTATGTGTAGGAAAGTTCCCATCTTCGTTTCCACAAACAAAAACACTGTCAAACTCCATCCCTTTTGCGCAATGAATTGTCATCAAGCTGACCACGAATCGCTTTTTCTCAGCTGCCTCTTCGTTCGAGAGTTCCGTAACCAAAGCAACGTCGTCCAGAAAGGATCCCAACGGCGATTCGGTACCGTCCGTAGTCGATGTTTCATGCTTCAAACATGGCCCGTCATTGCTGTACCGTTTTGTTGCGTGGAGCAGCTCGTTCACGTTTCCCATACGTTCTCTGAATTCTTCCTTGGTATCTGACATTTTGTCGAAGTGGGCTTCCAACCCAAAGTCTGAAATCACCGCGGCAAGGACACTTTCCAAAGGTGCCGAGTATGCCAAATCAACGAACGCACGCATCTGATGGGCAAACTCAGTGAAGATGTTAAGCGGGCGTGTTGGGATTGTGTCTTTCCTGCTTGGCAAACCCTCCTCTTCAGGCGTGCAGAATGAGATCAATATTTCCAGCGGGGTTGGTGGCGCTTCGGAACGCTCTGTGTATGCTTCTTCCACCAAGGCATAGTATTCATGAAACTTTTCTACTGCCTTGTCGCCTAGCCCTCGACTCGGAGTTTGAAACGATCTCAACATGGAGACTTTGTCGCGTCCGTTGTACAGCCATCGAAGGAAACACAAAGAGTCCTTGACTTCTCTTCGTTTATAAAACGAATTGGCTTTACCTAGAATAACATATGGCAAGTTATTCTTCACACAAGCTTCCTCGAGTTCTCTAGATTGAGAATTCGCTCGATAGAGGATGGCAACTGTAGTGTCTTGAGTGTACTGGCCTGATGCTAGCCTACTCTTGATGGTTTTGACAGCAAAACTTGCTGAAGCAGGTCGAGACAAAGAACACCAATGAGTTTTCGTGCCGCCGCGGTAAGTAGGCACAATCAACATCTGGACATACCTTCCGCTTTGCCATTGTTACATGCAACAATGCGAGGAGGGGAACCTCGCCCTCGTTTGGGTGTCGCTTTGCGTCGAAGTCTTGAACTGTCGCCAGATGCTATTACCTTTTGGGAAGCGTGAACTATCTCTGAAGTTGACCTGTACAAAACAACATGCGTATGCATCAGTTAGACAAAAAAGCCCTTGCGGCGCAGTACGAGCACGCACTTTTGCTTAGTTAGTCTCTCGTACCGGTAGTTCTCCGTCAGGTGCACAGTCCCGACTTCACCGAGAAAGTTTGTAAACTCATCATCAAAGGACGACAACGAGTTGGCTTCGGCACCTCTCCAGGCGTAGATGGATTGGTCCCCATCGCCCACTACGAATAGACTTGTCGAAGTCCACAGTCGAACCAAATCAATTTGCGCTCTCGACGTATCCTGATACTCGTCCTGTTCCACACAACACAACACAACACAAGCCACGAAGAGCATGCATGCATGCATGAGTTTCGACAGCAAATAATACAGGACCCGACGAACGTAACGTGCAACCCCAAGGCCAACAAACATACATACGTACAACTAAAACATGTGTCCACCTCCGATGAATGGCTTGTCGGACCCCCTGGTTTGTCATGAGCAACTCCCGTGTCAGGTAGATTAAATCATCAAAGTCCAGTAGATTGTTCGATAGCATTTTCCCGCGATAGTGACTGTAGATTTTCTGAGCAATCTTTCGATGCACCGGAACTGGCTTTTTGTTGTTACGCTCGTCCTCTCCTCCTCCTCCCGTAACAGCCCACTTTTTAATATCCGCGAGTGCGTTGAGAATCAGCAGGGGCTTGACATCCTTGGCCTTTAGGGGATCAATCTTGAGATCCGCCAAACATTCCTTCATGATTTTGAGCTGGTCACTCTGATCCATAATGGCAAAGTTGCCGTCCAAAGTTGTGACGTTACCTCCTCCTCCAATCTCCTGGATGGAAGGGAGTGACTGGAGCAGGTTTCCATTGTACCTTAAAATATTGGCACACACCTTGTGAAATGTGCCGAGCGATGTTCGACCCAAATCACGGACATACGCCGAATGTCCTTCCGAATACTCTTCTTCCCGAATATTGTCATCCTTGTCCTCATTATTATTATTTTCTCCACTACTAAACCTGGTAACAACAACGGAATTTGGTTCCTCTGTTGAATGATGATCTGCATGCGAAGCAGCACTCAGCAAAGTCTCCAATCGTTGTTGCATTTCCATGGCGGCTTTCTTTGTGAATGTGACGGCCAAGATGCGCGCCTTGGGATCCTCCTTTAAAAGATAGGCTATTCGACTCGTCAAGACGCTGTGCCAACAACAGAAACGATGTTGTATGGGTTGAGTGCATGATAGATTGAAGATTTCGACATTGGATCACAGGTTTTGTGTTTCAAATAAATTCTCACCGAGTCTTGCCACTCCCAGGGCCTAAAAATTGTTCAAACAAACATGAGTAATGGAATGATTGATTCAAATAAATCAGTGGAGACCCCATCTCATCTATTATCAGCTCCTTTGTAGCACTCGAGTTGAGTCGACTCTCACTCACCTGCCACCACCCTGTTTATGGAATATACGGGCTTTGTGACGGCCTCCAGTTGTGCTTCATTGAGATCCTTGGCCCATTCTTCTGACCCCAGTCTGATGGATGGTTTCCTTATTCTTGTTGTTGTCGTTTGCACGTGGTCTTCATTTTGGCTGCTGAAGAGACGGAATGATCTTCTACTACTAGTAGAGTCCAGTTGGCTGTGGAACCTATTATAACTCCCTGTACACACTCTCGTCGTCGTCACATCCTTGGGTCTCCAACGATGATAATCTCGACGTGACAATCCTGAACGCCCTGAATGTGCCGCCCATTTGGGTATCCCACGCGTGATAATAAAGGCCCCAGTGAGTCGCTCGCCAACCCACAACAAAGTCATGAGGAAGGAATACCGGGTTACGGGCATTGTGGATTGGCAATTCCAATTTGCTGCTGCAGACTTGTTCCAAAGCTAGCTACGGTAGGGCACACTTAGTAGTATTGACCATGGATCCATAAAATTATCTTCTGGTCGAGTTCTTGCCTGATCGCTGTGCTTCACGCGAGAACCAAGCCAGCCAAGGGTATGATATCCTACCGTACTAGCTAGTGAGGCACTCTAGCGTTGAAGCATCAAGTCGATGCCTGGTGGGAGCCTGCTTCAGGGACAATAGAAGGGTGCCTCGATGCAGAGAATTCCAGTTGGCAATGATGAAGCCGTGGATGCGATTGGTGGTTGTCGGAAGCATTTTGAAAGATACTAGCCAGCAAGGCGGCTAGAGATCTTCTCAGCTTTGGCTCGTCCTCTCATCGGCCACCCCCTTCACTTTCACTTTGTCATCCGCACTTCTGCTGACGGCAGCCTGATGGTACCGGTACCAGTACCGGTTCCACGGACAATATCGCTAGCTAGTACTGTACCGCTAGCTGCGGTAGTCAACTTACTTGATACTACATGTAGTAGACGCAGCCGCAGCTGCAGCCTCAATAATCTTTCCTAAATTATGCGCATTGGCAATACTACATTACTCAAATGAAGATGTTGTATTTGTATTTGTGGAACATACCGTGAAGGGATTTGATCGTGCTCTTGCCCCCGGGGTCAGCACTTGAGCCATGGGTCGGAAGTTTTGCTCAGCGAGTGCTCTCAAGCACTGACTACTTTGCTACTGCTGGTAGCTAGAATCGATTCGGCACAGCGCTCGGTCGAATGCTGCTGCACCAGCAGTGGTTCCAGATCATACATGCGAGTCCCATTGACGGCTCGGGCACCCCATCGATAGATTTGCACTTGACGTCGCCTCGGAAGGGCATCGGGATCATCCCATTGCACCGTTACACAGTCCATCTCGGACGAATGCGACCCCCAAGACTTTTTCTCCAGCACTGTTCCTTCCAAAGGACGTCCGGTCGTTGGATGGAGGGATTTGCCGTACCGAATATCATTCCAGTGTGGCCCTGGTGTGACCTTGTCCCCCGTAGAAATTGGAAGGATCGGTGGTGGTGGAGAAGCAGCAGCTATGGATGATTGTGGTGATTTCGTACTGTCGTCGCCAGCAGCATGGTCCGTCTTGTTGACAGTCTCATTGTTGTTGCCAACATCGTTACCAGTCGGGGCAATACTACTAGCTGCTGCAGTAGTATCTGATGAAGCCACACGGCACGTTGTTTTCCAGAATCCCCAGCACAGTCCATTGCAGATTGTGTTGGGTTCACGACAGGAGCGACATCGCCGAGGTGCGTTTGGATTGACTCGTTCGGGGTGCTCTTCGATTTCTTCCATGCGCAACCGAATCCGTTGCAGTTGCTTTCGTAGCGTCTTGCGCACATGCTTGGAGTATTCGGCATGTTTTTGTTCCAGAATGCTATTCAACTGATCCCATTGTTCTTGCAATTCGTGCTTCTCAAAGACTTCGAGAAAGGTTTGATATGCCTTCCATTCCGAATGCCGTTGACAATGGTATTCTCTCATTTTGACTTGGCAAAGCGTACAAACCAAGACCAAATCACGGCAGACAGTGCAGATGCGAGAGCCAGATATTTCATCGTATGGAGCACTGCATTCGACACACTTGCCAACGATTTGTTGTGGATTGTCAATGGGAGATGTTTGTTGTTGATGTTCTTTGGTACTACTACCTGTGCAGTTGTCGTCGTCCATTGCACTACTACTACTGCTTCTGCTATGTCTCTGTTGATAATAATGCTCTGCTGGAGTCAAGGAGACTCGTTGATCGAATTGAAAGTTTCGCCCTCGAAAGCAACCCGTTTCTCCGTACGTTTCCAGGTATCGATGGATTCCTCCTTGCAATTGGAAGACATCTTGGACTCCCCTTTTCTTCAACATGACCGTGGCTTTTTCGCAGCGAATGCCTTGAAGCGCAGTGGAGGGAAAGCAAACAAAGGTATTTTTATAACATCAATCAATCTGAAGCAAGCAAGCAAATAAATGTTGCCCGGTAGTACTGTGAAAGCACTGCACGTACTTACCCCCAGTGCAATACATGAGTACGGTTTTGTCTTTGAGCGTTTCCGCGTGGTTTTCACAAAACTGTTTATCAAAGGAACTAAAGGTGACCATTTCAGGGTTCATGGCAGCTTCCTGTTGTAAACATACGGTAGATGTATTCAATCAATGTTAGAGCAGACTGTGAGTGATTTTTTCCAGAGACGCACTGCGTGGAATGCAATTTTGTTTTGTTTTGTTTCATCTCACGTGTGTATTGGGGTTGACGAAATGTCCAATGGCATGTTCAAAGGTATTTCGTACATCAATGAGTACGACTGGTTTGGAATTATTATTTTTGTCATGTTGCATAATAATCTTTTGATGGAACTCTCTTGGTGACAAGTGGACACCTCCGTAGTTTGCAATATCTTGGACTCCGACAACGCCTCCCGAACTGACGAGTTCTTTGACCACACTTATCTTGAGATTGGGAAATGGTTCCACCAATTTCTTGTCTTTGGCAGAAGAAGACTGAAGGTAGGACTCTTTCCAGTCAATGTCGGTATAGATATTATAGTGAGAATCATCTTCATCTTCTTCTTCATTCCCTTGCGTTGTTGATTGTTGTTGCAGTTCTACTAGAGGATACCCACAATGGCGCAACAAATCGAACTGCTCCATGGCTTGGTGATATTTTTGCAACTGATCCATGGAGACTGCCGAGAGTGTTCCATTAATACCTTCCGCCGCCAATAATATTCTTCCCTTGCATCCCAATCGAGCACATAAATCCTTTTGGAACTGTTCGATGCGGGGGAGATAATAGGTGGGATATTCGTGCAGGTAACGACATGCCTTGGAGCTTGACGGATCCAGATACTTGTAAAACAAAATCACAGCTTTATGATGAGAGCTTGCAATATTGGACTCTGGTGGTGGAGGAGGAGGTGATGAAGACATAGTCGATGCCGCTCATGCAGATCAATCAGTGTGTTTTTGAGAATGGGGAGTTACTACGTTACTACTAGTATGGATTAGAGAGAGCCAAGATGTTTTTGAGATAGTTTTGGTGGTTGTGGCCTTGGATTGGCGGTCGGCCGCTGCTCTTAAGATTCAGAGTACCGGTAGGGTTAGAGTTGGATCTTTGGATCATTCCTGCCCCACCGAGGACAAGAAGACGACGGGGTTTAGATTACGGCATGGGTGTCTACAGTAGGTACCAGTAGAGACACGGAGAATGTAAGGTTGCAATTTTAAGCAAAGTTCTATATCTACTTATGAAAAATGAGCTGCCTCGCAAAAGCAATCGAGGAAAGAGAGCTTGGCATAGGTACAAACGAGATGAACAGCTCAGAATCGTTTTCCCAACGAATGGATAGCGTCCACTGCCATCCAAATCTTGGAGGACAAGCTAGATTCAATCATTTCCTCCATGTAGGCAACAGCCTGTTCTTCGGTGAGGTCCAACCGTAGACGCTTGCGCAGACCCAAAGCCACTTCCACAGCACCGTCACTAGCAATGACATCCGGAAGGCGAGCCGCCTCCATGATTCGCAACAAGGAGAGCAGCAGGCGAACGTTCTCCGGTTGACGCAATGTCACAAATGCACATCCGGTAAAGGAAAGGAATTTGGCATAGTTGTCGCTTTCACGACCTCCCATTCCAAATATCATGTCTTCCGTGACTCTCACTGGCAAGTACTTCTTGGGGTCCTTTCCAAAGAGGAAGGAATAGTCGCAGTGAAAGAAGCTTCCTGTCTGGTTGTGGATCAACAAGTTGTCCAGGTGACGGTCACCGACGCCAAGCAAGTACGTGATGACACAGTAGCCAGCACAAGACTTGACGTAGTTGTCCATCACGGCACGGCCGACAAAATACGGAGCCTCAGGATCGTATGCAATGCTTCGCAAAAAGTCTTGGATCGGATTGTTGGCAAGGGAACCTCGAGGACCGAGAAAGGGGCGACGACGGTTTGCACTCTTGATAGCAGAGGCGGCCGCATTGCCCACACCCAAGCCCACCATGCCCATGTAGTACACAGACTCGTAGTTTGACATTCCGGCCTTTACAACAATGGACAAGTCATCTCCATCGTCGCCATCCGCTCCAGCTTTGTTATCATTGTCCTCGTCGTTTTCGTCTCCCTTGTTGTCGTCATTGCTGCTCGTTGCGGTTGTGGCAGCACTAGACGTTGTGCCAAAGAACGACGAATAGGGCTTTTGGCAAATGTCTGATAATGGGACGCTGCCTTCTACCCATTCGATGAAACCACGGTTGGCGCCAACAGGGATGCAGCCAAAGGTCAACAACTTCAAGTCTAGGCCAGAAGCTTTCAGGATGGTGTCGCACGTCTTGACGAATTGAATTGCAAAGGCTTCTTGTCGGAGATCATCGTCGTGCTTGTACAGGAGTAGGCGTCTGTGGAGAGGCATGGTTTGCGCCTGCTCCAACGTATCGTCACTGACAAGTTGCGTAGTTACTTTGCATTCCAAGCGCATCGGACGAACCCGTCCTCCTCGTGGACTCAGAGACATGAATTCCCCCTGTTCGTCAAAGCCATGACTCCCCATCGCGTAGATCTTGGCCGTACAAAAGGAAACTGGTTCTTGAAATCGCTCCAAGCGATCCCAGAGAGGAGCTAGGTCGACCCACCCAAAGCCACCGTCTGTTGCCGTGTAGTTGCCGCTACTATCCATGCCATAGTCCTCGCTGTCTTCAGGGACGCTGGATAGTCGTAGCGAAAGCGTCCGAGGTGCTCCCCACGACGACCGGGTTTCGAATTGTAGCTTTTGCCGAAAGCCATGAGCTTTGCCACCATGTTGCAACGACGAGACGGATTCCTGGATGACACCACCGACGGCGCCATGTAGCACGAGACGGGATGCTGACGACGAGAGACTGCAAATCTCAACGACTACTCGGTAGCAGCGATCTCGGCCTCGTTGCAGCAGCGAGGGTTCTTGCACCAGCGGTCCAACAAGGGGTTGTCGATCTATCGCATCAAAGGTCAAGAGGATCGGGAAATGTGCGCTCGGGAGTATGTAGCATTCTTTCTCGTCAATGCCTACAAGGAGCTCTTGAGAGTCCAGAGGATTGACCAAACAAAAGGGTTTCGCTGGTAGAGCATTTGACCGATGCTTTCGACGAGTTCCGGTACACGTTTTCGATGGCGATTCGTCCGCGACGACGCTCCCGTTGTGTTTTCCCAGAGATTGTCGCATTCCTTCGGTCAGACTGGTCAAGACGGTGCTCTTGGACGCAGACCATGGTTGCAATGCCCAGTCGGTAATCTTTTGCGACATTGACTTGAGCAATCGCTTTTCAATGGACGTGCAGATGCCATCTAGCTCCTTCACAAACTCCGACATGTTCTCCAACAACGGTGTCAGCATTGGTGGTGGCGGTAACTGAAGCTGATGGGATGGTCGCGGAGCCTTTCGTGGCGACAGTTTCCGAGGGGATGGTACAAGCTGGGATAACTGTTTCTTTGGAGACACTGGCGTTTGTGGATCTTGTGCTAATGATTCCATGGAGCTATCCATATCCAATCCCTTCCGTTTGCTTTTCTTCTTCCGAAACAGCTTCCCAAACAATCGACCCTTGTTCGATTTCTGGCTGTTAAAGGAGAGGTTTGCTGTATCATAGGACGCATCAGCTGTGGAATCTGCCGTCGTAGTGCCAGACGTCGTGAGCAACTGCTGCTCTACACTCATAATGCTCCCTAGGTCACCTCCATCAATAGCCTCTCGTTCCGCCGATCGTAGCAGCTTTAAGCAATTGAACAATGCCAACAAGTGATTGTTGCTGTTCTGTTTGTAGGAGGATGGCGGCTGTTCGGCCATGTCCGTGTCGCACTCCAAGCATTTCAACGTACTCCGCAGGCAAAAGTAGAGACGCTGACAAAAGTCTTGGTCTTTTCGCGACAGCTTGAGCAAGAGACTGGTCAAGACGTCTCCAAAGTCGTTGTTTTGATTGATGCTGCCAAGGGAACTACTCGAGGGATCCTTTCGCATGGCGTCGTCCGCAAAGTGATTTCTAGTAGTGGTAGTCGAGCGGGTACTGGACGGAGCCGCTCGCTCTTCCTTCTTTTCTTCCATCCAAGGATCACCGACTCTAGCACTTCCCGCGGCCGTGGTTGTGGCTGGGATCACCTTGTCGCCAATTGTTTCCTCCAAAGCGCCTCCAGCCTGGTTGCTCTGATAGTAGGCAATGAGACTGATAAATTGCCACAAAAAGGTTTGAATCATGTCTTCTGACGAGAGTTCTTTGATTTGTCGGGTGATTTCAGCTTCCGACAAGAGTTGATTGTGGGGAAAGCCTTGTACATGATCGTCATTGGTAGTGGGCTTGCTGCTGTTGTTGTCAGTGGGCAATATGGCCAACAATTGTCGATACCCCCGCAAACAAAACAGTAGCGCTTGGAGTGGATCCCACGTTTGCGTGAGATCTTGTTTGGTCAGTACGGGACACGGTCCATAGATGCGTTGTTGTCGACTCCAATGGCACGACCTGTGTTGTTGCGTCGCAGGTGCCACAATTTGTCCTTCTACTACCCGCCCTGCCAATTCCGCCACGCTCCCTGCCAAATCTTCCTCTCCACTCGATGAGGAGGACGTGCTGGTGGGCAATGAAGAACCACCACCGCAACGTCGACCCGTGACACTGTTCCATACTTTGGAGAGTGGACCTCGTTTTGGTTCCGGTGGCGGCTTTTGCTGCTGTTGTGGTCCCCACAACGACTGCCACGACTCTTCAAACGAATGGACTCGAATTTCAATTCCATTTCGTTTCTGTGTAAACGACTTTGGTTTGTTCTTCTTATTGGTGAGTTCCTCCACATCTTCTTCCGCGCGTCGTTCCCAAAAACCGGTGCGTCCCGCGGCGGGTGTATACGCCAGACACAACTGCATCGTTTCCTCTCGTGCTTGAAAAATGTCCCGAATGCGTTCCCCAAATTGCGCATGATCCATTTCTCGAAGGGACGCGCCATTGACACTGGCGACAATCGATCCACGTCGGACGCCTCCAATGGAACTGGCGTACGAGTATGCTCGATTGACGAGACAAAAACTGCCACAGGATGCCCACTGAATGCCATAATAGGATGGATTGGACAATAGTAGGGCCGTGTAGAGTCGTCCGTCCTTGTAGAGTGTCAATGCCAGTGGATCGTTCATTTTGGGTCGTCGTTGTTGTTGTTCATTGTTATTGTTGTTGTTGGAACCTGAACTGGTGGATCCATCGTCTTGTTGAATAGGATTGTCGTGTTGTTGTGAGGGCGCAAAGAGCCCCTCGTATTGCCATATTCGTTCGAGGGCATGCCGGGATGGTTCTACCAGCATTCCCATTCCATTAATGGAAACCAAAATACTACCCGCAGTGACTCCTGCCAATGCGGCTTCGGAATTGGGTAGAACTTTTTGTACATATAATCCCAATGCTAGTTTGGACAGTGTCATTCCCAACTTGGGTTCCCGTTCGAGTGGTAGTTTGGCTCCTCCAAAGGGAACGGGTGGTGGTGGAATGGATGCCGTGTAAGTGACATATTCTGGTATTTGTGCCAATCCCATGCCTTGTCGGGGTGGTTGGTATGCTCTCGTGGCAAAAAAGGCAGGTCCAAAGACGGCGTCAATATATGCTTGTCGAATGTCATCTTGTACAAACGTTCGTGGTGTTGATCGTAGTAGATTGGAGTTGATGGCAATGGCAGTGGTAGCCGTGGATACAGCAGTTCCATGTTCGGAAGAACTCAAGTTGGATGTTTCTCGTGGTCGCACACGTCGTTTTGACGACGTACTCGAAGATGCCGAGGAATGATGACTGGTGTCCATCATGGGAATGAGACTGTTGTTGTCGTCGTCGTCTATACAGTAATAGTCGTATGCTTGACTAGATGGTGGTTGACTAGATGGCTGGAATAAGGGAATGGGCTCAGATTGACAGCGTGAATACGTGCTTTGCACAATAGTCTCCACGCCCGCCAATCGGTCTCCAAAAGTCTCCTTGAACTGTTCCAGGCTCAGCAGAGAGGGACTCTCTCTTCCTTCCGCTTGTTGTTGTTGTCGTTGATAGTACTGATAAGCTGCCAGCAATAATAGAACCATGCAATGCAACCCAAAGAAACTGACTTGTTCTTGACTAGAGTCCAATCAAGCAATTGAAATCAAATCGTGGTCGTTTTCGTGTCCACCACAATCAATCAGATCAGACAGATCAGATCAGACCAAATCAGATCAGATCAGACCGTTATGGTTCGTCTTGTTGCCTTGCCAATGACCAATCAACCCGGAACGGCACCAGCGGCAACACTGAATGGACTCGACTTGACTTGAACACGGCAAGACTCAACAAACAGTCAGGCTAGGGACAACCCACGAGAACCGCCGTCTCTTGATTGTCCGCTCCTGCTATCCTGCCACACCTGGCTAATAACTATGCATATAGATGGTGGCGTCCCTCTTGGAAAAAAAGTGCAATGCTATGCAACGCAACGCAACGCAAACAAACTTGAGAGAGGCAAAATGTGTGTCAAAAGGCGTTTGCCGTCGGCCATGGTCCAATCATCATCGGCTTTCATTCGGTCCTTCCTGTCTCTATTTTGGCGGGGGCGTCCCAAAGATCATTCACTTTCTTCATGACTGGAGGTATCTTATTCTATTTTTTTAGCCTTGTAGAGCAGTTCCGCCCTGCATTCACCGTAACCCTAACCAAAGCCTGAACCTTACTGTAGACAAAACAAGCAACGAGAATAGTCCTGAACCTTATCATTAGGTACTGCAACACTACCACTATTATAGTACCCAAACCAAACCGGCGGCTGCCAGTTGCCAGTTCTCGTCTCACTGGAGAAGAACTGTCTCGGTTGTCGCCACCCCCATTATTTATTTGTTCAAGTGACCACCTTCTAAATAGATATAAGTGTAGAAATAAATCAGCCTTAGTTAGCAGGACCGTTGTGGAAATATCAGTCGTGGTTACTTTCAATGGAGAGGACCACGGAGATTTAAGAGAGGACCGTTTCGAAATTGGAGAGTAGCGGTTGTACTCTCCTAGATTTAAGAGATTACTTAAGAGAGTACCATCTATTTAGGAGAGAACGTTTCGAAATAGAAGAGTGTGCCATACATCTTACACGTACACATAGGAGAGGAACCGTTGGAGATAGGAGAGTACTTAAGAGAGTACTGAAGATTAGGAGAGCACTTGGGTCCTCTCCTATTTAAATGAGAGTACAGCTCAGGATCAGGAGAGGACCGTTTGGATTTAAGAGAGAACCAAGCGGGACTCGCTTATTTCCACAACGTTCCAGTACAGTACAGTGGTGCCGGGTACCTCTCCCTTTCAGCATGGCAGAGTCAGGCGGTACTATCATAGCTATTAGGTACCCCCCCTTGGCCATTGGATGTTGCTGCTTGCTCTACATACACTTACCTAGCTAGACTATGGACCGGAAAGTGAAGGTGTAGCTTCTCGACTATACATGTAGTATTTTCATAGCTTGTTGCAAAAAAAAACCACTGTATAACCATACCTATCGACAGCCTTGAGAAGCTCTTGGTCTCTGGCTGGGTCGTCCTCCAATCCAAGTTGCTTGTAGTTGGTTGCTTTCTCCTGATGGAAACTTCCTGCCTTGCCAAAGTATAAAGCTGACCATGAGATTATGGTTTCTAATAGCAGCTCCAAGCTAATCCTGAACCAAGATTCAATATTCCAAGCTAAGCTCACAATGGATTATTTAGGCTCTGCAGGATTGGGGGGGGGTTACACTACCTTTGGTTAAGGGCAAAATACTGCTTGCACTTGACACCTGTAGGGAAGGGGGGTACTGTACCCCTCTCAGAGGATTTTGCACTGCTGCACAATGGGGGTTCAGATGCACTAGCTAGCTAGGTACATGTAAAGTGGTAAAGTAACAGCTAGTGAAGTGCTGTAAATTGGCAAAGTCGCTGTAATAATGAAATCCTACTAGCTAGTACGTACTGTACGTGCCACTGATTGTCCCCACAGTGGGTTCAAAGATGCATCTGTTTGTCGCATGTTCTGCGGTCGCCATGCAAAGGCCGCGGCATTGGAAGTGCGTATGAACGGCTCCTTGTGACTGAAAACAAACTGGCAGATGCAAGTTTTCAAGCTTCTTCCAATCGGCGAGACAGCACCTAGTAGAGTCTAATCTACAGCATCATTGAGCGGGACTGCAGGGTCAACATAGTCTACGTACTGTACGGTGTCGTACTCTAGCTATTAATTAATAGACTCTCAAGGTTGAAGCTTCTTCTGCCAGTTTCCACCACCCAAAACAAGTCCAACTTGCTCCTCATTATTTATCGATTGCTAGAAGGTGACAGCATTGTAATCTTACAACCCTCTGTGAACAGCCAACTGTGAACAAAAAGAATTGACTGAATAGCTAGCTGCGATGAGTAAAGAACCAACGAAACAGAATTGGATCTCCTGGATGCCATTGCCAAACAACTGGCTAAGAATGGTGGTCCTGCTGCAAGCAGCGAGTACGACTACGGCCGCTTCCGGTCTTAACTTGCTAGCCGAAAAGGAGGCTGCAAGATCAGTGTTGTGCAGCGTTTCCTCGCGAAGAAACTCGTTCCAGATGAGGATAGCAGCCATCTGAAAGAAGAAGAATCAAAGGACCTTGAGATTGCCAAAGCCAAAGCAGGCTTGTTCAAGGACATCTCAACCGATCAACATGGCCTAACAAAGGTTGCCAAAGGATACACAGTCTCTGAGGAGAACAAAAACAAGGATGACCATCTACGTGGAAACCAGGAGAGCTCCGTCTCCCCCGCTACTGGTGGTCCCCCCACGCTCAACTTACAACGCGACATCCATAGTCGCCCTTCCTCCAGACCCGGAGCTGTGGCTGTTGCCGGTAGTCGTTCGACTGAGACCACTGCACCTCCAATTGTTGACACAAATTTTACGGCGGATGATTCTCTCGAAACGTCGCGCAGAGCACCCACACAGCTACCGTACCAACCAGCCTGAGGGCAAGCAGTGCCAATGACAGGATGGAGCTACGAACGTCCGCAACCATGCCATCCGCACGCCTTGTCAACACAGATGAGGAAGCAAACATACAAAGTGCGGACCCCGTGCAAGAAGGTGAATTGCGTCTATCCAGTGGAAACCTCACCGTTGAAAACAAGACGGATAGCAAGGAGGCATTGAAAATCATTCTTTTTTTGTTGTTGTTGGCATTGTTGTACTTGGTCTCGTCCTGGGCCTGGCCGGCAACCAAGACAAGGATGCTGCTGATGTCGTGCCAACAACCGCTCCAACAGTTGTGCCATCAGCGGCCCCTACTTCTTTTGCAGCCACCTTGGGATTCCCTGACTACTCAGTGGAGAAAATCGTGAATGACTCGATCTCCCCCCAAGCCAGAGCTTATGCTTGGCTCATGGATGATCCCAATTTTGAAACCTACCCTGACTGGAGAATCCTGCAGCGGTTTGCTCTTGCAACCTTCTACTATTCCACTGGAGGTACCAACTGGGCTATCAATGACAATTGGCTGAATCATACCTTGGATGAATGCAAGCACTGGTTCTTTCTGACTGAAACAGCTGGTGTGGACCCCACAACGAGGGATGACAAAATCAATGTGACCTCTCCCTGCGATGATGCTGGGCGATATCAATATCTACTCATGGGTGGCAAAGACTTGACTGGGTCAGTGCCACGAGAGATTGGCATGTTATCCGAGCTACTAATCTTTGACTTTGAAAAGAATTATGGACTAGAAGGCAGCACCATCCCTTCTGAGATTGGACTGCTCACGAACCTGTTGAGACTGTCTGGTAAGTCCCCTGCTCTCGGTTATTGTTGCAGCCACCCTTTCCCTGATTTCAAAGATTTCTCACCAGATGATATCTCTTCTTCTGCTTCCAGCTGATCGAAACTACCTTGGTGGGACTGTTCCAACAGAGATCGGCTTGATGACTAGCATGGTTGAGTTGTATCTGGGCTACAACCCTTTTCCATCAACCATCCCTACCGAAATTGCCAATATGCGTGAACTCAAGAAGATCAATCTAAACAGAGCAGGATTTACTGGGACATTTCCTTCTGAGCTCTACACACTCCCCAAGATGCAAGTGCTTCTTGTTCATGGTTTGCTTGGTATCACTGAAGCTACTATGGATGGTGTGTGGCAAATGACAGATTTAGAAGCATTCTATGCCCACAACCTTCCTTTCCACAATACTCCAATCCCCTCAGAGCTTGGCTTGGCCACCAAACTTCAGCATCTTCTCCTTTGGGATACAGGACTCACAGGGACGGTCCCATCAGAACTGGCTAATTTGAGCATATTGAGACGGTTGGACATTGATGACAACCAATTGACAGGATCCCTCCCAGATTTCTTCTTGGGCTTCCCTGGGCTTGAAATTTTACTGTTTGATGGAAACCACTTCACAGGCACCTTGCCATCTAATGGCTGGCAGAACCTGACCAGTCTAAGGACCCTTGCTTTTTCTGAAAATCAAATCAGTGGGACCATCCCCACAGAAGTTGGTCTTCTGCAAAGCATGCAAAAACTCCACCTTGACCACAACATATTCACAGGAACACTTCCAACTGAGATAGGAAATCTAACAGCTCTGAAGGAGGTGTTCTTCCACGAGACATATGTTGGTGGCAACGTTCCATCTGAGCTTGAATCTTTGCCCGATCTCACATCATTACCCCCCCCCCCCCCCCCCCCCCCCCCCCCCCCCCCCCCCCCCCCCCCCCCCCCCTCTCCCGATACTTTTCTCACAGGCTCTATCCCAGCTGGGATCTGTGACAGTTTGGTGGATGTTTGGTTCAGTTGTGAAACCAAGTTTCGAGTTACCCTGCCGACCTGTACTACTGTTGAAGTTGAAGACTTTGACTGTAGGACTTCTCTACTCTGTGGCTGTTCTTGCGAGGCCTGCCCGGGAGAAGAGTCGTCTGGTGGTTTCTTCTTCAACATGACATTTGATCCCTAGATACCTCCTACCGGTACTAGAAGATGCCGTGGTAAGCAATTTGCGCAGAAGCAGCCTGCTTCTGCATTCGGTATCTTTTCTAACACCCTGTGGTTGCTGCTCTACAGCTTATCAGGGCTTCAACTCTTTGGGCAAAAATGTGGTGTTTGGGATATTGGCTCCGGGATGTTGGGCATTCAGGTATTGCTTCTTCTGGTATATGAATCCAAGTCTTTGTAACGGTGGGGGGCTTCCACGTTGCATGGTTTCCTTGGGTTTCATACTTTGAATCAACTGCTTCGACAACTTCACGTATTACATATTAAACTATTGATTCATGAACGAAAGATTTTGCTTTGAGCTCCCTTTTAAAGTAGCATCGTAGCGGTAGTCTCAAGAGGTAACAAGTCATCGACTGAGAGATAATTAGGCCATGCTGTACACACGCACGCGATCAGCCACAGCTACGTTGTCTCGTTCCTCTTCCTCGAGCTGTAGACTCATGCAGACGCTTGTTTTATGGTACATTATTCCCAGCCTAAAACCAACTGCTGCTACAGTAATAGCAAGGGGAAACTGGACCTGTTTTCGCATGGACACGCCTGACAAGAATCCACTGTCCCACTCCGGTACGGAGAGATCAAGCAAGTCTGCAAGTCAAGTAAGTATTGTCGTCATCTCGTTTGTTCCAACTATAGCAACGAGACAGCTCGATCGGTAGATTGCTAGTATTTCCTGACTGTTATGCAGAATACGCTGCCAACTTCTTTTCCAGGTACTCGGGGCGAAAGTGAATTGCCAGTCCACCGCGATTTCCCTTGGTGATTTGAATATCGGAATCCATGTAAATAAACTCCAGGTATCCACCCTTGGCACGAAGCGGTAGAGGAATCTTGGGCAGAAACCAAAACTTCCAGGATGCACCAATGATGTCACACCCAATGCGACGAATCACAATCTTGTGGTCGACTGTTTTGGAGTATCCCTGCGAAAGTGGATTGTACTTTACCGTGGACGCCACCTTGCCCTTTTTCAAAATGGTGGCACCACCGGAAAAGGTCATGCTTTGGATATCGTACACGACCGAAGATTGCCCGGCCCGTTCCTTTTTGCCAACGGCTTTTTGTATTCTGGGTGATTTTTTGCCCTGTTTGCTAAAGACCAAGGACCATTCGCCATTTACAACGTCGGCTTCGAACCCCTTTCCCATGGCATAGAGCAAAATCAACAAGGCATTCAGTCGTTCCTCTTTTGCGGCAAATTCCACCTTTTTGTTTCCATCCACCAGTCCCTCCACAATGAGTTGAACCAGTGCGTCTTTGGGGCTTTCTTGCGCGTACGTCTTTTGCAGATTGTACCATCCTCCAGCCGAAACCACGTCCAAATCAGCGGGCAGCGCTGGCTTGATTTTGGCAAACTTTTCTTGCAGCTCCAGTGGCGTCGAAGCGACTGAAAGGGAACTGCATCGATTTCTACTCGCACATACTGGGCTGGGTGTTGCTATATGAATTATTAATTTTAAAAGGAAGTGCCAACCATGAGAAAAGCGTTGGAAAACGTAGACGATACTTGGTCTACGGTAGTCTACTTTGCAGGAGGAATCAGAGATATAATCAGCTTACCTTTCGAAACAAAACCCAAGCACAGCTGCGCCAAAGCGACGAGCAGGAATGCCGTTGCACCAGAAGAGACCTTCATGCTTCAGACGAAACTAGACTATGACAAAACAATTGCTGTGGTAGCGTAGCGTGCTTTTAGAAGGTCAAGGAGACGGAGGAGGTGGACAAAGGGTGCAAATTCAGAGAAAAAGTGGTGAGGTGGTGGTCATGCGTGAGCGCGGTGGCATTGTGACGTGTAGCATTAATCAGTAGGGTTCAGGGTTCAGGGTAGGGTAGGCATCGGTACCACGGATTATTTTTATATCGCATTCCTTGAATGCTGCATCTCTGAAGCTTTTAATTCGTACGGTGCGGTGCGCTAGGGTGCGGTGCGGTGCGCAGGTACAAAAATTTAATTGTCAACGAAAATTTTCTGCAAAATACTAAAAGACTGTCCACTGATAATTCAGAGGGAATACTAATACAACACTAAAAGTGTTCGGGGGAAGTGTTCAGGAGAAGTGTTCGGGAGCAGTGTTTGAGAGAAGTGAAACCAAATTTGCAGAGGAATGTGATTCTCAGCTTGCCTTTTGAAAACCGCTTCGATGCAGCTGCCATCAGCCAGTAACGGTGTCTGTTACCGGTACAGGGTATGGTACCGGTACCGTGGCTCTACCTTGGCTGTCTGAATTGAGGTCATGTAAGTGAAAGGGATTTTTGTGATTAAGCTTGAGTGTAGTTTCAACAAGGCAAGTTTACACAAGGCAAGTTCTAAGAATTGGCACAATTTTTAAAAGTACTCCAGCAGTGGACTAGCTAGCTTCGAACATCACTGGCAGCATTCTGCCCCTGCAAGTGATTGTAGTTATCCATATGGATCCGTATTCCTCTAGAAATGGGCAACCAAAGATCGGGTGTCGAACAATAATGAGTACACTCTCCGTCTCGATGAATGTCATGAAACTGTGATGAAAAATCTCGAAAAGGAATAAAGTAGAGATTTTTGGAGTTGGACAACGACAACGATGATGGTCCTGTTGCTGGTGGCTGCTCAAGTTGCTGCTGGTGTGGGTCCACAAAGTTCATGCCCGCTCGCTCTGTTGCATTTTTCATAACTTGAACATGTTGGTACTTTGCTGTGTAGTCGTGAATTGGGACACAACCGTCTACCCCAGGGACCATCTCAGGTCCTTTCGGGGAATAGGAGCCTCCCGGACGATTGAAATGCTGGGCGGACTGCTCCCTCCACATGATCATTTTGGGTGGCATGCTGGCAGTTGTGAGTTGCTTCAGCAGGGCTGTCATGCCTTCCAGAAACTTTGGCATTTCCCAATGTCTGTACCAAAGGGAGTGATCAAAGATGTACACATCCGTTCCAGGACCAAGAATGAACTGATCAATGCTTCCTGCGGTTGGCCAATACATGATGTAAAAGATAATCTTGATATCAACCATTTTGGATGATTTTGATGATCCTGGTATTTTGGTGAGGGTGAGCGTTTTTCTCTGGCGAATCCCATATCGAAGCCCTTTACGGGGATCCGCCAAGTCCCCTTCTACCTTTGTCTTCATCTCATAGCCCCTCCTCAAGAGTTCACATTGGAACCCGGCAAAGGTTTGCCTTGTCATGGAATCTCCGGCCACGACCAATGTTTTCCAATTCTGTTCCTGCATGACTTGGATGATACGGCACACATCACACCCCATACCATCCACAGGATGTTCTTGAAGATATTCAAGGGTTTTCTCTGCCACATTTTCGTATCGCTTGGTATCGGTAGTGCACAGGTTTGGTCGAAAGGCCACTGGTTGTCCGGATCCCTTGGTGGTACTTCTGGCGCAGCAAATCTCCGGAACACCATCTGGAGGATTACATTTTCCCGTGATGGATTCTAATTCCCAAGGAAGCAAAGGAACTCGATCAGCCAGCCACCAATTCTCATTGGTCTTTTCTGCCTTCTTGGTGACCTGCTGGCCTGTCTCTGTTTCTTGTTGCTCTTGTCGTTGTTGTTGTTGCTGATGTTGTGGTTGTAGCTCTTGGATTTGCTGTGGTTGCTGTTGTGCAGGCACCATTCCTTTCTTATTAGTCTCCAATAGTTTGCCCATCTGCTGTTCCAACTTGGCCACTTGGTTCTCCAAGTCACGCTGCTTGGAAGAGGCATTATTCTGGATTTCTTCCTTGAGTTTACTAAGCTTTTGCATAGATTTTTCTTGCTTGTTCAATCGAGATTTAGCTTCCAAAAGTTCCTGCTTTGCATCTTCGAGCTCGGACCGGAAGGTCTGCAGAATCACTGCGGTCGTGTTGCTGTACATCAAGTCCGTGCGAGTACTGCGTTGAGTATTGTGAGGCGACTGACGATACTGGCGCAACGAGGAAAACTCCCACAGTAACCCCAGCATCGCCATCAGGAGACCCACAGAAATGGCCACTTCCGTTTTACTGGGCATGGCGATCGTGCAGTGAGGACGTCGTTGAGTTATTTTGTGCTTTGGAAGGTCTCTTGCTTGGCTTGATCTGGTCGTCCGATTGGACTTGTGGTGGTAAAGTGAAGAGCCAGGTAAACTGGTGCCTTTACCGTACCGCTACAGGTGGTACAGTAAGTAGCTACTACCAGGTACTAGCTAGTAGTAGTAAGCTTACTTGATGGTTCTTCTTCTAAAGGTCAAGTTTCAACAACTCTGGTTGGATGGCAAAATCGGAAATTGGTGGCTCTTTGGAGGTGACCTTGCGAGAATGACTCCCAAAAGAGGCCTTTGCGCAACAACCAATTTCGGCTTTGGGCAAACGGCAAGAGGCTTGGTTTGCGCAAGGCCGAAATAGGTTTTTGGTTCCAACCACCAGTTTGATTGGCTCTACAGACCCCAACTTGACTGGTTTGGGGAGCATTCTTGACATGTTGCCACCAACGGAGATAAAATCTAAAATAAAAAAGAAAGAACCAAACAATGACAATGTTGAGGTTTTAAGATATCATTGTATGAGCTACCAGCCAACCATTTCATCACAGAATGGCACGTACAAAGAAAGCCACTCCACCTTATCGCTTTGGTCTGAAGCCAATGCGATTGTCCGGCCGTTTCGATGTACTTGCGCTGGACATGAGGATCCCTTCATCGTGGCATTGTCTGAAGTATATGCCCTTTGAAGAAGAAAAAGAAACAAGTAAGATGTCAAACACTCAAGAAGATAATGCCAATGGCCGCCGCAGTTATGTTGACATACCATACGCAGAACTAGGAGCCGTGCACCCTGATGGTGTCATTGTCGGTCCTACTGAAAGGTACTACAAGTGCAGTGGTCAGTTTACAGCCGATCTCATGACAATGGGAATCGGCCTCAAGACGTCTGACTTTCATGAGATTGGCAACGTAGAGGAGGAGCCTTATCGTTCCATGAAGTTGAAGAAAAAGGTAACAGCCACGCAGAAGCACATGGTGGAGGAAATCAAGCGTCGTTGTATTGTGGATGGCCATCTTGAACAACCAAAGTGCGGCCACTGGGACAAAAAGAAGTGTCTTGTCTGGCTGCAGAGGAATCCACTCACCAATGCAAGCGACAGGGCCTTTGTAATTGCCGCAGAAAAGAAGCTCTATGATCTTGTGACAAGGGTTAATAAGGAAAACTTGAAGGAAAAGAACAAGGGAACTGCTCCGTTGATCACCGCAGAACCCTACATCCGTCTGATTGAGTGCATGCTCAATGACAGCATCCGCCCACTGTTCATGGAGATGCACAGGATGGGGGAAAGAGATGAGTTAGATGCAAGGAATTCGGTGGACAGGCCTGAGACAGTCTATGAGGCTTGCGCCCGATTGTACAACAATGAGAACAACAAAGTATTCTCACGTTGCTTACCTGATTTGCATGATTATTTCTCTGAAGCCTTGGATTGTTCGTTCGAAAAGATACCAGGTGGTGCCATCACCGCTGATGAAGTGAAGCGCCACTGGGTGACAGCCGTGCCAAGTTGATCAAAATCATTGCCAAGTGGGAGCTGAGTGGAAACGGATTCGGCCAGCGTGGACAGGATGAAGATGCGTTTGGTCACTTGGGAGAGGACGAGCTCCAGTGTGGAGACAACCGAGCTAACTTCATGGATTCCCAGACAAAGGAACACATCCTGTACTTGTGGCATGTTGCCGATGAACAAGAGATCCTCAAGAATGTTTTGAGTGTCATCTCTGATTCTTGTGCCGCGAGTTCTGAAGCTTGCTCCAGCGTGGCTGGATCGGTGGTTACCACTGCACGCAAGAGACGAGTTGACGAACGTGCTTTGGGTTTCTTCCGTGCAAAGATGGGTCTGGCCATGCACACCATGTCTCGTGCCGCCATTTTCAAAGAACTCCGAGAGACACAGGACAAATTGTTCGAGTCACAGGTCAAAGTCATGGAGACCACCAGCTCCAACATAAGTGACTTGTACATGGGCAGGATCAGGATGCTCGAGGCACAAGTGAAGGCCGTTCAGGAATGTCTTGATTCCCTTGATGGGGAGGAAGCAGTGAAGAAGCAGCGCCGCGAACGCCGAGCCAACAAGAAAAGGAAGACCACCGCATCTGCCGCTGCCGCTGCCTTGGATTCTGATGATACCGACTCTGATGATGATGATGAGGAAGGGTTGGCTGCTGAAAGTGGTTCCATGGGCTATTGATGAGAGCGCCATGGCCAAAAAAGAAAAAGAGTGTTGTGTTCTGTGGAAGAAGTGTTGACTGAAATGAGTTGATTGCCTGGAACTGTCGACTGTCGACTGAAAGGAGAGGACCAGCCAGTTTCGAGTACATCAGTTGACTCGGAACTGACTGACTTTCCTCGCGGATCAATGGTTCCGGATTGTGTTGAAAAGCGATAGTTTGAAACGTTTGAGATATCTACTGTACTTAAATTCTATAGATGCGAGTAGTTATCTGTCACCTTTCAACTTTCCATTCGCCAACTCGTTTGTTCTCTCTCTAAATTCGGCGAGTGGTTGAGGATCGTTCTCGCGAGAGCCAGGTCAATGCTGTATTCATGAATAGATGCCGCGGTTTCATGTGTCTACTAATGATTATTATCTATCCTTTAAGCTTTATAAGAGCGAGCAGGTGTCTTTCCCACCCAGTGCCGGGGTGTGGTGCGCTTCAGTCCTTGCCGTTGGATCAGGGAGTGCATCTTTTCGCGAGGAAGCACCACATCTCCATTTCGCCTACTGACTCTACTCCAATAAGAGATATCATCAAAATGATGGCCACCACCAATCAAAGCTTCCGGTCGATAGTCTTCTCCATCCCCTTCCAAGTACATGCCGCCCTCACCCACAACAATGTTCATCTCATCACTTGCAAGACGCTCAGCCACATCCACGGTAAGTTCTTCTCCTGGCGAATCCACTGGCGAAAATGTTCTGTGCGCGCTCTGTCTGGCCAATCTCTCATTTATGCAATAGTTGTGCAGGCGGCACAAACAGCGGACGATGGCAGTGACTTTGGCGATGGTGATTGTGGTGGGAAAGGGGCGCATCAAAATTCCCCAGCGGCGTGTCAGCATTCCAAATGCACACTCGATGGTGATGCGAACGTTGGAATGAAAGTAGTTGTAAGCATCTTTCGATCCTTCACCCACTGCCTTGTATGGAGTTGCCATTGTTGTTGTATTAACATATGCGTTGTCACCAAACAAACAGATCCCTTCCTTCATGAACCCATCGCGTTCAATCTTGTGGTAGAGAGGAGATGACGTCCAAGCCAGGTAGTCCGAAGTTGATCCAGGACGATGAGATCCAGTCAGGGTAGATGCACAAAGAGCTGGCTGGAGTGGAGAGCTCTGCTTGGAGCCTCACTCCTCTGACAGTGGGAATGGGCCAGCCACAAAGCTGGCTGCCGCTGCTATTCAATCTCCACAGCAATGATTGAACAACTCACTCTTTGCCTTGGAACAATCCACACAGAAGGCTTCAACTGTGGGGAAACTAGTGCTACTGAGGCTGTCTGGTCAACTATCCTTTCATTACTTCTCTTCTTTAAACTATGCTATGATCAGATTTCCCTGAGATATACCACTCAGAAATCCCCGACCAACATGAGAAAAGATGCAATGCCCGGGAATCGAACCCAGGACCTCACATTGAGCCAACCGACTTAACCATTCACTGCTTACAATTCACATGTTGGATTTTAGCATTAGTAATGCCGTCTGTTTCAGCCAGAGAGTGACTGCTCAATTCATCACTCCCCAGACGTCACGAATCTGGCTCGTAGTAGGAACTATTGATCTCCCCATGAGTTGCCCCGCAAGCACAACCCACATGACATCAGGAACACCTGCAATGCCAGCATTCCTCGCAAGCAATGCGGTCAATCTCATCACATACTACTTACCAAATTACCAGGCCCGTTCATTCTGACGGGTATTGCACCATGATCAGATTTCCCTGAGATATACCACTCAGAAATCCCCGACCAACATGAGAAAAGATTGCAATGCCCGGGAATCGAACCCAGGACCTCACATTGAGCTCAACCGACTTAACCATTCACTGCTTACAATTCACATGTTGGATTTTTAGCATTAGTAATGCCGTCTGTTTCAGCCAGAGAGTGACTGCTCAATTCATCACAGGATGCTTCACGTAGATATCAAGGAACCTCCGGTGAGCGTCGCAGGTGGCCTGCATGTTCAGGCCATACTTCTTCTTTCTGCCACAGAAGAATTTCTTTGGACCACACTCTGCATTCTTACAGCTTTCCTCGCTTGGTCTTTCTGTCCAGATGAGAATCCCATCGGCCGTTCCTCCACAACAAGCGAAAACTCCACGGCTCAACTCCTGGAATTCATCTGCTATCTTCTGCTGTTTTGCATGGTTCGAAGGGAAGGAAAAGTTCAGCTGTGGACATTCATTGACAGCATCCACCACTTTCCACACTGAACGGTACACATCAGTGTGCCCTATGCCGTGGACACCAGCAATGTCATACGCCGCTCCTCCAGCAAACCATCGTATGGCAGAACTGACTCTGCTTGGCAGAGGGATCAACCCATTCTTTGCTCCATTCTTCCAGGGCTTAAAAGGGCTTGGTTTGGATTCCATGTAAGGCTTCAACATTCGAACCAGCCGCCAGAATGATGAGGGTTCCATCCGGTAAGCACGCCTGACATAGTGTGGGCCCAGTTCATTGAAGATGTCATTCACGTATTTCCTCTTCCTTTGCTGGTGTGGCTTTCCTCCACAGCGATTGTCCTTCCTTCCCTCAAACAATTGTGGATCTGCTATGGAAAGCAGAGCGACGGCAGCTTTGGCAAAATTCTGGAAATCCTCGAGAGCATGGTTCCTCACAGCGGAAGCAACGAGTAAGAAAAGAAGCACAATGATAAGGAAGGAAAGGAAAAACATTGTCTAAAGTACTGCTTTCTGGTTGTGGCTGGTAGGATTGGACAACGATGGCAATGGTGTTACATGATGACAACAATCAACCAGAGTTGGCAACATTGGTTCTTATCGGATCTCATTGGTGTTCATTGGTGTTCCATTGGCATCTGGCGCCCTGGTGGGAGTCGGATTCTCTGATTTCACCACTGACTAGTTGGCGAAGCAATTCGGATTCCCAAATTGGGGCCTCATGGAAATGGCCTCCGAATGACCGATTCACCGATTCCAGAAAAGTTGTTGGGACTGGACCTTAGCTTGGGTCATCTCGATGACCACTGGCTAGGGTTACCACGTTACCACCCACCCTCGGCATTTTGTCTTTTACAGGCTGTTGTCTGTAAATACTGTTCTTTAAATGTTCCATGATCCTGTGTAGGGAACGGCTTATGTTTCTAATTTGTCTCATAATGCCTATCAATGGCTCATAATAGTGCACAATGCTGGATTACTTATGTACAATAATGTCTGATTGTGTCTTCTAAGATTATCTCTTATTTTTAAATATCACTGTCAGGTTGTGGTACTCACACTGTTTCAGCATGTGAGTACATGTACTGAGTAGTACTCATAATCCTGGGGGTCATGTGAGTACATGTACTGGGTAGTACTCACAATTTCTGGGGTCAAGTGAGTACAGGTACTATGTGAGTACATGTATTCTGTGAGTACTACGGAATACTCACTGAGTACTCATATATCAATTACTTAGAGAATTTTTTTTTTCTACCTAGTTCTGGGCTTGGGGCTCCTCCTGGATGCTGTTGAATAGTTCCACCATAGTGTCCAAGTCGCTGTCATAGTCTTCTTCTTCTTGTTTGCTTGCTGTTAGCTTGAGTAGCTGCTTGGTTCTGGTTTTGGCCCATTCCTTGCGTGCATCATTGATGCATTGCTTGTAATATTGGATGAAGGCACTGTTTTTGTAGCAGAGAAGTTTCATTTGGAAGGTCAAGTCAACCTTCTGTCCATTGCTCAGCTTGCCATCGAACCAGGTGCAAGAACTGAACACCCTTTCTTGGAAGCCATTGCTGTCCGGCATTGCCAAAATGCGCATGGCCACCTCAAAGATTAATGGGCGATGCACTTTTCCAGAGGTTTCCCACCATTCTTGGAGGTCAAAGTGTTTCTTCACAATTTCAATGTTATCCAGCCATGTTTCTGGTTCATTGCCAACTGTGACTACAACTTCTTTTGAGATAGGCCTCCGCTTCTGAGCCCGAAGAGCATCCACCAAGTTGAAATCGTCCGTCAACCATTTCTCGATTGCTTTCGTGATGGGGTTCGTCCCTTCTTCCACAGGTATTTCTGTGACTTTCCTCTTTTTGGCTGCCCTTGCCTGTGCAAGAGGGTCGTTGATTCGTGGCTTGGCCAGCGGTTTCTTTGGACTTGCATTCGCAATCACTTCATCGGCTCGTTCGAATTTGTCTCCCCACATCTGTTTGACCCAAACCGTCAATAGATGCTCGGCTCTCTTCCGAATACCCTTGCCCATCTCCTTGTTTGCTGGGAGGGTTCCGAAGAATCAACAACAGCAGCAAGAGGCAGTCTCCAAGTCGTCCAGCATGTGCGTCTTTCCAAAAGGATTACACATCATGGCAAAGATCTTGTCATCTTGCTTCACGTCCTTAAGATTTGCACCATAAGTTCGCAAGTCTTTTGCCAATCGCTGGAATAATTTCTTGGGAACGCGATGTAGCTCCGTGACTTTGACTGTCCTCAAACCAATCTTCTCAGTGGCCGAAGGAAGGTAGAGTCCGTTCGTGTCTTCTTTGGGATCTTCCCATTTTGGAGGGCCATCAAACTTGGTTGGGTAGAAATGTGCCGTACCATTCCACTTTTCGTTGTCATTTGTAGCTTCGGATCGACGAGTCTCTGGAACCCAGACCACCTTGCCATAACAATAAGTAGCGAACACACGGTATGTACCATAGGCAGTATACGAATTGGCACCATAGATATCTGTCTGGACAAAAGCAACCAGCTTCAACATGGGGAATTCCACTGCCATGATTTGTGCCATGATGTAATACTTGGAATCCTCCGCCACTGGACATTTGTTATCAACATTGCAATAATGGTGTAGGTTCCACCTAGCCTGGATAAATGAGGTGTAGAACAAAGCTTCGCCACCAGCCCTTGTTTCGTTGCCCATGCAAAAAGGACGGGGTGTCCGACCAACACTCGCTGGTTCGTCCAATAACTTCTTCCATCTTCCCTTGGATTTCTTGTTGGCCAACCACTTTGCGAACATCTCTCCTTCTTTCCGAATGTCCTGGCACTCCTTGAATTCGTCAACCACTTTCCTGTTAACCGTGCGCTTCTTTTGACCGGTGGCATGTGAGAAAGCAAGCTGAATGTCATGCATGGCACAGTAGGCATTTTGTCCGCTCAGATTACGGCCCACCTTTAGCGCCGTGCTAGTAGTATCATTCATAGCCTTGTAGATCATTCCATCCTCGACACCAAAAGCTGTGAGAAGACGCTTAATCTGCTCCGTGGTGGGATCTCCCTTCTTGTCTAAACATTCCACTAGTGCCATGGGAACTCGTAGATAGCACTTCCTTTTGGGATTGTAAAAGAACAGTGTCACTCCAAGTATTTCCTTCTTGTTCGAGTCCCAAATATTGTGAGAGACAGTGAGGAATCGCTTATGCTCACCAAAGGCTTCCATATGATGTAGTACTCGTCAGTCTCTCCTAGATGCATTCCAACCGCAGCAATCAAATTTTGGTAATCTCTGGCTCTGTAGTTTGTACGAGCCATGCGTCCCATCAAGCCATTGTTGGGACACTTCAACAGAGCCGCCCCATTCACCATGGCACATACATATCATCATAGTTCTGAATTCAGGACAAGCCTTGTGGTCCGTCAGAACACGAAGAGGAATGTTGTTGTTTGTGGCGAACCGATGCTGTGCATCTTGGAATTCCGCAAGAGCCTTGTTCTTTCCAGCCTCGATACTCATTTCATGAATCAGAGACCGTGGCTGCAGAGACCGTGGCTCTGAAAGGGTCATATGACTGACGTTGCTTGACAGCTGTTGGGGTACTTGCTGGGGTACTTGTTGGGGTACTGCCAGTGAACCGACTGCAACAGTAGCAGCAGACCGAGTGACATAGAGTTCGTAACGGAAACTTTTGCCTTCAGATTTCATTGCAAGAAACATGTTGTTGTGTTGTGTCTTCACGTGCTTGCGAGGATTGCCTATGCCATTGAATCCCCCGGATGCTGTTTTCTTGTAGATTGGCATGTGCAGACAACGGGCCAGTGACTTGCTCGTATCATCGAGGCATGCACGATATGCTACATATTGCTCCCCTGAAAGCAATCCTTTATGAATCTTGTCATAGGCAACAGGATCCAACGTTTGGAGATTTTCAATATGATCAATGTCGGGTACATCAACAGAGTAGAAGCATTCCCAGACTTCAGAACGACTGGGTGGCTTGCGGTTGAGCCTCGGGATACTCTTGGCTTCCAAGTACTGGGCACTCAAATCAGTTCCAAGAGCCGCTGCCATGGCATCATTTGCAGCTTCTGTTTCTTGCTCTCCATCATCAAGATCGTGGGCTTCTTCGCCGTCTTCTTGCTGCCCTTCATTGATAGCTTCCTCAATGTCTTCCTGGGATAAGTGATCTTCATCATCAGACATGGTGGCTTCTTGCTGATTCAACAGTTGCTTCCTTGCTGCTATTGAAGAGCTTCCTTCAATCAGTTTCACTCAGTTTCAATCAGTCAATCAGTTCAATCAGTAGCTTCAATGGGAATTTGGGCCCAAGTGAGAAAATAATGATCTTTTTCCTCTGTTCGCAGTAAGCGAGTACTCACAAAGTACTCACCGAGTACTCACTTGGGTACTCACTCCGTACTCACTTGAGTACTCACTCGAGTACTCATCGAAAGTACTCATCGTGTACTCATCGAAAGTACTCACAGAGTACTCATCGAAAGTACTCATCGTGTACTCATAGAATACTCACGGAGTACTCACGATCTGGAGGCAAGTGAGTACATGTACTGAGTAGTACTCACGATTTCGGATATCATGTGAGTACATGTACTGAGTATACTCAGTACTCAGTACATGTACTCACATCGCGTACTCACTGCATGTACTTCATGTGAGTCCCACACCCTGATCACTGTATCCCAAATTGGTGAAATGTTTCGCATGCAGTCTCGCACTTTGTCTCATTGCCTAGATTGTCGTATGTCATAAATCTTCTCAAGAGTAAGAGACATTTCAATAATTCCTACGAGCACTGACAGACCCAATAATATAAGACTGGGCCAATAGAATGGGAGGTCATTTTTCTGTCCGTCGTCCGTTTCGGTTGGATCCTTTTGGCGAGAACAAGTGAATCGGAACATCGGCTCATCCCGTGTTCATCGCGCACGTCGCCAAAGTAATTAAGTTAGAATGTTAACTTCTAACCTCCCGTACATACCCATATATACATCTATGTATAGCTGAGCTTCTACTTTATTAAGCAAGACTCAAAAGTTTTTCGCCGTCTGTACGTCGTCCGACCGAAAAGCCGACCATTCTATTGGCCCAGTCTTTTATGTTTCTAAACAGAGTTTGGTGCCAAGCCCAGCGTGGATGCAGGACACAGAACAAATTCAATTCGGTAGGTATGTATGCAGAGTTCTTAGTAATTCGGGATTTTTCACTTATTTACCCCGTCTACGAGATTCTGAAGATATTCTATGCATGAATGAATGTCTTTCACACCAACTGTCTCCGGTTGTGGATCGAGTCTGAAGCGGCGCTCAATAATTTTGCTTGGCAAGGATTCACCATGGTTGTGTTGTATTGCCCAACGGCCTTCCCTTATGGACAACCAGCGAATCAGCTGAGCTTCTGTAGATAGAAAGAAATGGTAAAGGCGAAATCCGTGATAGGTTCTCACTACTCGGTTTCTGCATCAACGAACTGGTATTCCGGTACATCATACTATGGATCCACCAGCTGAGAATTTAAGTGATTCAAGAGCAAAATATGCCTTTCCTTTGGATAATGGCGACCCTCCTGCATCGGGTTTTGAGTACACAGCCGTGCTTGGAAAATTGAGTTTGTATCTTCCGTGCATATTAAGCAACTTAGGAATTACAAAGTCCCCGGAGGGATTAGCTAAGTTCTATAATTAGGTTTGTATCTTCCGTGCAACGACACCGCGAAGGGGGATTACCAACTAATCCTTGGCTATTGTATACTTATCGTGCAGGCCTCTCACGATTACTATCCTGGTGGAACTGGATGTGTTGAAGTACGGACAAGGCAAAACTCAACTTCGATTGTGAGCTAACTCGGCCATTCATGGAAGTGATATCAAACGATGGTATCATTAAAAAACCGGTGTCTCCACTTGTTTGTCAAGGGTTGTGAAGCGATTCGATTCATCCATACAACTTGAAAGGTCTCCAGTCCATCCACAAGGTTTTCAACGCAGATTCACAGAATATCCTCAAGCTGGAGTTGCACGTCAACGACTTTTCAGTCTCTCTTTGGAGTTCTTTCCAAGTGGGAGTGGATAGATCCGATAGGGTGGGGGACTTGTGGGGCAAGGTTCAAAGGCAGGATTGGCTGAGTACATTGATTACATGGATATTCACAATCTAAAAATGTCTCTCTCAAATACGCAGCGGAACAAAACGGAACTATAGCAAAATCACACCCAAAACCGAACGACACAATCCTGCCCTTCCAAAACGCAATCTTTTGAGGTAAAGATTTCGAGAACAAAGTTCTTTCCACTCCTGATGGTTGTCTTTGTGGGGATTTGGGGTCGACAATAAGTATATAGTTGCGAGGAGCTTGCGGCGAACCACGGGGTGATTAGTGACGGCAAATGTATGATTGGTGTAGTCTCTCCAAAAACAGTGAATGCCCACTTTGACCGGGCGTCCCTGCGGCGTCCTCCATCCACCGGCAAGACCTCCCTTGCCACGAGGAGCAGCATCCAACAAAACAATCTTCAGATCCTCGGCAGCACTACTAAATCCAGCCCACCCTCCGCCGACAATGACAGCGTGTTTCTTCTTTTCATCTTCTTCTTGTTGTGATGACAACGTGGAGTTGAGCATTGACCATCGTTGGCTATCAGTATGGCAACAGGAATGCAGAAGAAACACTAAGGTAGCACTGCATGAGGAGCATGTTCAGCCAGGGCAAGAACGGGAGGAGCACTGTGGGGACGCCATGGTAAGAAAATAAATACTAAATCTTGCTTGCAGAGAGTTTCTAAGGCACTGTCCCAACAGTAATCAAGAATCGTACATTCGGAGAATCCAACTATGACCATGAAGGCCCTTGGTCACTCGAAGTCCCAGAGGGTGTCCCAACAGGTAAATGCCCAGTACCAAAAATCCAATACGTGACTAGGAGTTGGACGCTCCAAAAGCCATCTCATTCATCATTGGATGCGCATTGGCATGTAATAGAAAGATACAAGAAAGAAGATGCACGAACAACAATAAAATAAGAAGCTGATTGTTGAAGATTCTCATAACACCGACCACTGACAATGATACTTCAATCGGTACTATTGGGGCTGCTCTTCTTACCTTTGGTTGCTGCTTCGCCAGCCATGAAACCAGGACACTTCTTTGCTGTTACGTGCGCTGTTCTTCTCTCTGTCGCTCCTGAAGTCTTCGGAATTCAAGAGAACCGTAGGCCAGATCCAAGTCCCCATCGCCCAAGAACCAGGAAGAGAGTCGCAGATATCTTCAATGAGCTTGGTCCCTACTACGTGAGAAGGGCCTATCGAATGGAACCAGCATCATTCTGGAAGCTGTGCCGCTTGCTCCATCCCCACTTGAAACCAAAGTCAACCAAGAAAAAGAAGGGGAGGATTGGAGCAAAGAACGTCATGATTCCTTTGTCATCCAAAGTGAGCTCTGCGTTGAGGTTCTTTGCAGGTGGAGCTTCCTATGATATTTGCCTGGTACATGGAATAAGTCACACAGACGTGTATCGGTCAGTTTGGAAGGTAGTTGATGCAGTAAACCAGTGTGATGCCTTGGCATTTACTTACCCTTCCAAGTGGGAGGACCAACAGAAAATTGCTGATGGATTCAAGGTCAAGAGTCGTGGAGTGTTTGAGTGTTGTGCAGGAGCAATCGATGGGATTGTTGTTTGGATAGAGCGGCCCAGCCAGAAGAACTGTGACACTGCAGAGTGTGGGCCCAAGAAGTTCTTCTGTGGCAGAAAGAAGAAATTTGGCCTGAACATGCAAGCAACATGTGATCATGAACGGCGCTTCATGGACATTTCCATCAAACACCCAGCTTCAACCTCCGACTATCTTGCATTCACCACATGTCCCCTGTACGTGAAGATGGAGACAGAGGGATTTATGAAGTCGGGCTTGTGTTTGTTTGGGCACAATGCATATGTCAACACTCCATACATGGCGACGCCTTACAAGGCAGTCCGGAGTGGTCCAAAGGACGCATACAACTACTACCACTCGAATGTCCGGATTACCATTGAATGTGCCTTTGGGATGCTTGTCCGACGTTGGGGTATCCTGTTGAGGCCATTATCGACGAAGTTGACCATCGCCAAAGTGACAGCCTTGGTTCGCTGTTTGTGTCGACTTCACAACTTCTGCATCAATGAGCGACTCGAAAGACTCAATAATCAACAATCCCCATCAGAGCAACAAGACAAAGACATGGCTGATCTACTAGCATCCGATGAGTTGAACATTGTGTTGGGTGGTGGGCGCGCTGCTGACAATAATGATGGCTTCAGACCAGAGGGATTGCTTCATGGTGGAGAACATTTCGATGATGCTAGCAGGAGTGTGCGCATCAGTAGAGTGAGATTGGATGCGCCACTCCCTCGCGACATTATGTGTGAGCGAGTGGAACGCTTGGAACTCACACGACCAACGCCTAATAGCTGGGTTGGTCGCACTCCTGCAAATTCTATCTAGTTATTAACCCATATAGATCCAACATTACGAGTCACACGCAGTTTTCTATCAATGCAATGTATAGTACAATCGGTCGTCCTCGCTCAAACGGATCTGCGATCGTTCGCCGAAATGGATAGATCTGCTAGCGATTGGTGGCGATTGAGCCATGAAGGCGAAGAAAATGAGAAACTGCTAAGTCTACAAGTCCATTTCGCTAAGTCTTTCATTTCTTCCTAGTGAGATTAATGTCTACCAAACTCTATGCTCGCATGCAAGTCAACAATAAAGAGAGAGTTGTGCATGCTTTACAGCATCGGTATGGAAGAGGCACACTTGCCACCTTTTTTCTTTTTTCTTTTCACTTCAACACAACACAAACAATGCGACCATGGCCACTTTCAATAGCCAGTGCTTCCACTCTCCTGGGCAATGCTATCTTCCTCCTCGGTATCTTGGACTTCCTCGGTCCTTTGGCGCTTGGCATTCTGCTCCATGATGGCATCCACCATTTCCTGGATCTTTGTGATTCGCTTCTCAAGCTTCCTGACAGTTTCGTCATAGAGTTTCTTCACACGAGGTAGTTCGGTAGTGAGGGCCCGTTCTTCGTACATGACGCAGCGATTCTCAGCTTCACGTAGCTCGGTCAACAAAGCGGCGTGGGACATGTTGGACAGAGCATCGCTGATGGAAGAACGAAACTCAGCCACGGCACGAACTTCGGCTTCTCTCTTCCTCCTGTTGACAGAAGCGTTGTCATCTCCCATAGTAGACTGGCAACTCTCCGAATCAGCAGCACAGTTGACCGAGATAATACTCAAGACTGTCTTCATGACCTCCTCAGTGTCCGCCACATGCCAGAGATACAGGATGTGTTCGCGAGTTCCAGAATCAAGGAAGCTCGAACGATTGTCCCCTTCCTCGAGCTGTTCTTCTTCCATGTGACCGAACTGGGGCTCTTCTGTTGTCCTCTGACCGAACCCATTACCGCTGAGCTCCCACTTGGAAACAATTTTGACCAGCTTGGCACGACAGTCGCTGAACCTGCGTCTGGCTTCTTGGGCACTGATGGTACCTGGCACTTTGTCGAACGAAAGGTCAATGACATCCGCAAAAGTGGGATGCAGTTCAGGTAACATGCGAGAAAAAAAGACATAGCTGTCATCATTGAACATACGAGCGACTGCCTCCCAGTAATCAACAGGCCTTTGGTCAGAGTTTCTGGCGTCCAACTCATCCCTTGTCAATGCCTTGTTCGTTTTCATCAGGAGTTCGCGGTTATCATCGTGGAAGAAGCACTCAATGAGCCTGAGGTATGGCTCGAGGGTCACCCAAGCTCCAGTCTGGTTCTTTTTGGCTGTTTCAGTCTTCTCTTCTGCGGCCTTTGTCAACATGTTGAAGAGCTTTTCTTCTTCAAGTTGCACAAAGACGCGATCAATCACGTCAGACATTGGGTTCTCCTTCAACCAACTGACGAGCTTGTCCTTGTTCCAGTGCCTGCACGAGGGTGCCTTCTTGCTGCTGTCAACCTTGCAGCGGCGCTTGATTTCTTCCATCAAATCCTTTGCCGTGGGCACCACCTTTTTGTGGAACTTCATGCTAACAAAAGGTTCAATGTCAGTATTGCCCAGTTCACGTCCATCAACAGAAGTGAGGCCCATTGCCATGGCCATTAACTCAGGAAGACGACACCCATTGACATTGAAGTAGCGTTCAGCTAGTCCAACGGAGGGATTTGGGGGCAAGATATTGGCGAGATCCTCTTCCGTGATGTCAGCGGGGGATTGGATGGGCTTTGGGGGCGTGGTGATGACAGTCATGGTTGCTTCAGCGTCTACTAAACTGCAAGTCTTCTGTTTCTTTGCGACTTCTTCTTTTTTGTGAGGATCATCTACTAAACTGCGAGTCTCCTGTTTCTTGCACTTCGAAAACAGATAGTCAAGCCGGACAGGTTTAATGCCAAAGCAATGCTGGTTCTGCTTGGTCCTTGGCATGGCTGTCTACTTGGATTGGCACTTTGCCACTACGTCAACAACAACAACACGGACAACAACAGAAACAACAACGGAAGGTTTGTGCAGCAAGCTGCTATTGTCATTTTCATCTACGTTTTATCTTGACTTTGGTTTTGTTTACGTCCTCATTTCTATTTTTCTTCCAGAATGTTCGAATCCAAAACCCATTCTCCTCCAATCAAAGTTGCTATTGAATGCCGGAATCAGTATTTTGGTCTGGGCTCACCGTTGCTCGCCACCCGACACGCAAACCCAAATTTGGTTGTTGGGGTTGGGCCTCTTTTGGAGACATTCTGTGCCACGTCAGTGCTTGGGAGGTCCGAATGTTGGATTTTTGCTATCCTCCACCACTGTTGGGACAGTGCCTAAACGATGGAACTCGACTCGACTCCGATCTGGCTAGCTAGCAATCGTCCAAGCCAAGGAAACTGAAGAGTGCGGAAGGATTTATTTGACCTATTTTCCAACTATTGGACCGCTTTGTCCAACTGTTGACCTTTAAGTCCAAACATTTGACCTTTAAGTCCAACTGCCAGACACAGGAGGTGAGCAGCATCATCTTTGTGTTCACTCCCTCCTGCGACTCACACTCAAAAGGACCTCAGACCCCAACAGCACGGCTTGTTGGCGGTACCACAGTATCTGCATGTCTATCCATCTATCTATCTACTAGAGCTAGCTAGAGGTCCTATGCTGGTTACTTGTGAACGAGTGTATGCCAAATGGTGTATGTATGTCTGTCTGTCCTCTGCTTGATTTGATTGCTGGACTGATTGAATGAATGCAAAGAAAAAGGAGCTCAAGAAATATTGAAGAAGATCTGAAAACGGGAGACATCAAGGAACATCATCCTTATTATTCGAGCCCGCTTGCTATTCTCTCTCTCTTTTC